CACAACTATAAAAGATTCTTGAATCTGCCTTATTTTGTGTGTATGTGAGAAAATTTTTCCAGAGAATATACCTGGGAGGGTACGCACATCTTCAACCTTATTAGAGAGTGTTGATCTACTTCTCTAATGTTCTTTCATTGCTGTTATAGCTACACAGTATCCTATTAAAATCATGTACACTAGTTTTTTTAATCTAGTGTTGTTAAAACAATATTAGGTGTAAAATCTTCCATGTTGAGATGATTATGCTAGTAGAGCGCTTGAGAGCTTGGAAGGCTTCTGGAGTATTTTAGCTCATTGGATCCATGGCGAGAGTCAGGTCAGTTATTACCCTTGCTCCTTTTTTATCTTCAGTGAAGATGATGGAACTAAACTCCTTTCAAAGTTTCTGAGGTGGCTCAGGGGAGATCTGTGACTGGTCAGTGCCCGGGAAACGATGGTCACAGCAGAAGACCACAACAAAGAGCAGGAGGAAACAGGCCCTTTTGTGGCACCTGTGACAGTGCAGGGTATCAGCTCACAAGCTGCTCCTGGATGGCATTGTCCTGGAAAGGAGGGAAACAGATGGCCCATTAATAGGAACCTGATAGCATTGTTTGGGGTTGGGCAGGAGGTATCCTCTGGGGGACCAGGAGAGAAGCTTTCAGCTAAGAGCCACAGCAGCATGGAGGAGGAGCTTGCAGTGGCCACTTCCTCACTCCTCTGCCCTGGGAGGAGCCCAGAGAGGATGGGGGCGCATAGCTTCCATTGTTTGCCTGATGCTGTGTCTGCCAGAACTCCCCTGAGAAGCCAGGAGCTTTGACTCAAGGGTATAGGTGTGTGTGTGGGGGGGCGGGGGGGGTAGGGGTGGGAGTGGGAGAAGGGCTGCCATGGTGAAAGTTGAGGAGAGGAATGACTTTGGGGTAGGAATGCCTAGGATGGGGAAACACATTAACGAGAGGTGTCTAAGGCATATGTAATGCCCACTCCTGGGTCTCCCTTTATCCTTTTTATGTGTTGGCTGTGTGTCCTGAGCTTGGACGGTTCTCACCTTAAGAGAGCTGCTTCTCTTAAGAGTGGTGGGGAAACGTGGTTTAAAACCAGAAATCCAGGCTCTGCCACTAACCAGCTCTGTGACAGTGGGAAAGTCCCTTAGCCTCCTGGGATCCTTATCCCATAAGAGATGCCAAGATTCCTTCTTCACTACAGGCCTGTCTAGTGCCTACTCTGCAGATACAGGGTTGTAGGCTGCTGTCAGGAGTTGAAAATTAAGTATGAAACGATCCCATCTCAACGCTTTTTCTCTAGTTATGGCCTTAAGTTCTGTAATACCTAGCCCCTGGCGAGCAACTGAGTATCAAGGAAGCAGAGTGAAGGTTGCTTTGGAAACAAGGAAAAGGAAAACAGAGGTTTGATTGGCCCTGAGGTTCCTTCGGTGCTTCTGCTGTTTGCTTCACTGAGGAGGTAGAGTGAGTCACACACGTTGTTCTAAAACTGAGTGAAGATGCCTGTGCAGCCAAGGCCACTTCCTGAAATCCTTGTAATCTACCACACAACGCCGACACAGGGTCAGGATGGCACAGGCACACTCTGATTCTCCCTGGATGCCACTTACAAGTCGCTTGTCCTTTAAACTGGGCACCGCAGAGTCCCATCCTCTTACCTTTCTGTCCCCCTCATGTAATCTCCACCTGGCTCATCACATGCATTCCCTTGGTTACCTGGAGAATCGTGACACCCCAGCCCAAGTTCTCCAGTCTGACGCTCCCCTCTAAGTTCCAGTTAAGTGGCTACTAGACATCTCCAGTCAGATGTCCCACAGGCATCTGTACTCTACAGCCCAACTGCACCCCTCATCCTCACTCCCGGCTGTTCTCTTTCTCTATTTGGTGACTGATAGCAGCCTCACTAGGTTCCTGTAATTACCACCTGGTGAGGCCTTCCGGATCCATCACTGCAGTTTCTGCTCACATCCAACCAGCTAGCATTGACTCTGACATTCCCTATATCACTGTGTTTGTGTTTCCTCAAAGGATTACTTCCTTTTTTAAGCCAACTCTTCTGTGGTTCTGTTCCCTTTAGGGTGACCTGGAAGGCCTGGCTGCCTTTCCTACATCTTACCACCTTCCTTCTTCATTGTCTCCACCCTCCAGCCATCCTGTGGTGCAAGGGCGGTCACCGGCCCTACGCTCTTCTTCAGATGGGGCTTGTCCCCATCAGGTTTCTTTCCCTGGAGTCCCTCCTTCTTCCCCATCCCAAGCCCCTCACCTGGCTGCCTCCTTCCTCCTCACTTTTCAGGACGTCACCTAGCATCTCCTCCTCTGGAGGCTTCCTTGGCCCTCTCACCCAGGTCAGTGACTCTTCCTAGGAACCTTCATGGCATCCTGCAGCGACCTTTATCACAGCACTGATGACATCAGTTCAGGTTGTCCTCTGAAGGGGGACATGGTGATGATCTATTCTCAGCTCCCAACACAGTGCCTTGCTCTCAACATCCGAGGCAAATAAACCCATTTTATAAAGAAAGAAACTCAAAGTTGTCTCTGGGTGGCAGTGGGACCCAGGGTTCTAATGCCTCCCATTGTATTTGTGAAGTTTGCAGCAGAGACAAATCCCCATGGACGTCCACGGGTTCCAATAGACCCTCAAAACTAGCTGATTGCTTAGATTTCCATGTACCATCTGTCACCAGCTCCTTCACTTTGCCCGAGGAGTTGACCAATCACCTGCGGTCCAGGAGCTGGCGACCCACAGGTACCTGAGCATCATTGCCGAGTTTAAGAAAAAGAAGGTAGAAAATTGAGTGTCAGCTGTCCAGGTGCCGGGAGTCAAAGATGATAACTTGCCCACAGAAGTGGCTTGTAGAACCAACGAGCTCCCGCCATGGAATCTGAGGCGCAGCTGAGAATCTGGGTGTGGGGTGGGCGGAAGGGGGGAGGAGGGGTGGAGGCAGTTATTCTAAGGGTCCATATTTCAGATTGTTCCTGGAGAAATCACTGCAGAGTCAGCCAGCCAGAAAGGAGGCTGGTGGTACCCCCTTTCTCCCTGTCCTCTCCTCCCTTTTTCTTGGCACTTTGCCTGCCATCAGATTAATAAAATCTTTTTTAATCCCGATAGGAATGACAACCTCATGAGGAAAAACTGGATGGAAGATTAAAACAACCTCAAGAAATGAAAGATTTTCCTGTATACGGGCTTAAACACTTGCTTTGTACAAGAGGTTGTGAGTTAATATCTTTGTCTCAGGAGTGCAATTTTTCTCCTCAAATCTTTAGAGTAGTTTCCAGAATTGTAAAAGCTGTTTCCATAGCCACGTCTGAAGCTGACGGGGCCCAAGTACAGTCATCTCTATGAGGGATGAGAAAAGTATTGCCTTCAGATGCCAATGTGCAACATAAATTAAGATGTTAAAAACACACACACACAAATGCTTGAAAACAGTAATGCCTTAACAAAAACCTGTAATGATTTTTCCTATGCAAAAGGGTAGGACTTACAAAACAAATGATTGGAAGTATAGGTTAGATTTAGAAAGGAAATCTGAATAAAATAATTCCTTTCCATGGACAACAATATTTGATGTTAAGTTTGGTTATTATATTATTAAATGAATTTACATACATAAAATGAAAGTTATACTTTTCATCACAAAAGTGCTTTTTAATTTAGAAAACATTAAGTCACTCTATGTTCCCTTATAGGCATTAATGCATTGCTTACATTAGGAATTATGTTTAGAAAAATGTGCTTGCCCATACCTTTTCAGAGCACAGCTTTCAGAATAGGAAATGATTTCCAAGTGGAAATTGAGAGAACATTAGGGTGGCTGTTGTGTTTAAATCTTGATATTCTTATTGAAGATTAGTCATTTGAAGATTCAACAGCCACGGAGTATCTGGGATCTGCCTGACCTCAACCAGAACTGGCTCTGTTGTCCTTTCCTTAGCCTCAGGAAGAAAATCCAGGCCAGGACTTCCAGGGTCCAGAAAGGACCCTCCTCTCTGGTTCACAGGGGACCTCTCAGTTCCTCAGGTCAAATCTTCCCTCAGTCAATTCTTAGCTGTGAGACCTTGGGCAAGTTATTTAACTTTCTTTGTGTCTCACTTTCTTCATCAGTAATTTAGAGATAACAGTCCCTTCTTCGTAAGTTTGCTGGAGGGTTAAATCATTGTATGTAGTCTTAGGACAGTTTATGACTGGTGCCTAGCAGATCCTCAATAAATAGGAACAATTCCTGTATTATTATTGACATTGGAAAGCTCCCATGCTTTCTAAGGAATTGGCGTGACTAAGAGAGACTAGGTACATACACTCAGACTGTGCTGTAGAGCAAATTACTCAGTGAACAGTCAAAAGTATTTAGATAAAACATTTTGTCTTCAATGCCCTAGCATCAATTGTTAAAACACACACACACACACACACACACACACACACACACACACACACACACAACAATGGGGGGAATGGGGGGAAAATCCTGGCAAGGGGACAAGTTTGGAGAATTGTCTGAAAGCGGTCATTGTGTTCAGGTGGCCTGGCAGGCTACTGTAAACAGGAGAGATAGCTGTGAGGAGGAAACCAGAGCCCATTGTGGGCCCATAAAATGGATGTCTTTTCAACTAAACAGATTGCTATCAGTCTAACAGAGGGACTCAGGTTCCTTTCTGCGGGGCCATTTCCTTTACTGAGTGTCTGTAAGAACCACCCAGGCGGGTGTTTCTCAGGACAGCAGGCTTTTAGGTCAAATAGAAAGCCTGGGAGTGCCTGAAAAAGCCCGGCACAGGCGGGTAGTGACGCACGAGCTGGATGACATCACCCTCCCTGCTGCCGGTGGCGTGGAGGCTGCGGTGCCCGGATTTGTGCAGCTTCTCTCGCGTGGGAGCACCAGCAGCCAGGACCACAGGGAAGAGCTTTGTGCTGACATAGCTGAAGGCTTCCCGGCTGAGAACCGCCCGCCCCTTCGTTCATTTCAGAAGCTGGGACATCCTCCACGCGTTGTCAAACTCCCGCAATCCAGGATGGACAAGACCCAAGAGCCCCCGGCCATGACTGTCCACCTGCTGGCCAGCTCTGGGCAGGGTGCGCTCCTGCAACAAGCTCTGGACCAGCTCCTGGGCTGCCTTTGCCCAGAGGTCCGTCTCTTTATGGTGTCAGAGCGGGTCAGTGCCGTGAAAAACTATGACAAGTGCCACCCCAAGCGGTCCCGGTTCCCAGGGATGTCTGTTCTGCTCTTCCTGCACCACAGCCGCGGAGAGGAGCGGCTGCTTCGAGTTCTCCACTTGCTGCGGCAGTGGCCCTGGCAGTGCTACCCCACCCTGAGCCTGCAGAGCGGCCCGTGTCCCTACAGTCTCGCGGGCCAGGAGTTCTACACTCTGGACAACCACATGCCCGTCTGGGGCGTGAGGCAGGTGCACTGCGGCACCGAGGTCCTGCGGGTGACGCTCTACTGCACCTTTGATAACTACGAAGATGCCATCAGCCTCTACGAGATGATCCTGCAGAGGGAAGCCACCCCGCAGAAGAGCAACTACTGTTTCTTCGTGCTCTACGCCACCGAGAGCTTCGCCCTGCAGCTGTCCCTGAAGCAGCTGCCCCTCGGAATGTCGGTGGACCCCAAAGAGTCGTCGGTACTGCAGTTCAAGGTCCAAGAGATTGGCCAGTTAGTGCCTCTCCTCCCCCATCCGTGCGTCCCCATCAGCCGCACCAGGTGGCAAACGCAGGACTACGATGGCAACAAGATTCTGCTTCAGGTATCTCTGTTTTGCCTCTGCGACCTGGTAGACACACATGGGATGGTGTGATTTTACACTCAAGGTGGGCCTGAGAGATGATTGAATGTGGGGTTCTCAGCCTAGGTTGTGTTTAAAAACCACTGGGGAGTTTTAAAAAATTCCCAGGACATGCCCTAACGGGTTTGGCTCAGTGGATAGAGCGTTGGCCTGCGGACTGAAGGGTCCCAGGTTCGATTCCGGTCAAGGGCATGTACCTTGGTTGCGGGCACATCCCCAGTGGGGAGTGTGCAGGAGGCAGCTGATTGATGTTTCTCTCTCATCGATGTTTCTAACTCTCTATCCCTCTCCCTTCCCTCTCTGTAAAAAATCAATAAAATATATTTAAAAAAAAAAACAAACAAAAACCCAGGACAGTAAGATGAGAATCGCCAGGGGCACCCAGGCCTGCGCATTTCTTAAAAAGCTCCTCGGATGATTCTTCTAATATGTAGCATGTAGTGGTGTTGAGAGTCACTGATCTTGTAAAATCCCCCTCATGGGACAGATAAGCAAGTTCAGACTCTGTGGACAGACAGCTGCTTCTGAACCATTTGCTGATCGACTGCTTGTTCTCAGGAAACAAGTTTGTCTCTTCAGAAAGTATGTATATTCCAGAAGCTAGATTGCTGTAAACAAGCATGCATTTCTTTTCATTTTATCAACAGACATGGAGCTAAGTTCATCCTTATGTCCTTTTTAGCCATTAAAATAAAGGAACATAGTCTTTCATGAAGTAATTCATTTTCTTCTTCTATAGCATTTCTTGAAGTCTGCTTTCTCATTTCTAAGTCTCTCAACTGCACTCACTCGGACTCTGTTCCTCTCTCTTTGTCTTGCTCATTTTCTTTCCATTCTCCATCCCTGTCCCTAATCTACCCCACACCTAGTCTCTCTCTCTCTCTCTCTCTCTCTCTCTCTCTCTCTCTCTCTCTCTCTATTTCTCTCCCATTCCCACGCTCTCACTCTCAATAGTTCGGCTTATGCTGCCTTGGAAGAACACGGGTGGGCATTCCTCTGAAGGCTGCTATAGGATAGCAGGGTAATATCAGTGGTTTGGGTTAATCAGTTAAAATAATCAGTTAATTGAAAGAAACTGATTTCAGCTCTTAAGTAAGCAAGCCTGGCACTGTGTGGGGGCTGCTTACTATCTCTATAACTCATTTCCTTGCTATTTCTCCCTCCTCCGTTTGGAGAAATCCTTTTTGCTATCTCTTGGAACCACGTTCAGTAAAAGACAATATTATTTTCCCTGGATGATGTCAGTCTGCCCCTTAAAAGCTTAATCATTTTTCAGTGATGTATATTTTCTTGTTTCTGAAGTGTTTAGAATCAGTTGAGTGACAAGTGATCTTCCTGTTCATCGAGATAGTTGCTACTGTTCCCTGACACCTGAAAAAAGCTAGCTCTCAATTTGTAACATTTTACAAGCATTTCTTAGAAAGATGGGGTCTAAATGATCAGAATTTTTACAAGTGCGTTTCAATTTATTTATTTTGGCAGGAGGCGCTTTGTTCTCCCTCAAGGGATATATCTCCACCACTCAGCATTGTTTCTTCTAAAAATGCCTCATTCCAACTGCACACATCTGCATTTTTGTTTTAATAATGTTGTACTCACTTTTGCCATATGGTCTAAGGAGTTTAGAATTTTCTTTTAAAAAAGAAAGTTGACATTTCCTCCTCTTAAAAAGATTGGAGAAATGGCCAGCCATGTGATAAAATCACTTTTAATTTTCTTGATAATTAAAATACCTAATGTCAAATAATTAGAGGCCTAATTTATAGGTTCTACATTTCTATGTGCAAAATTTTACATTTTGGGTATTCAGCTTTATTTATTTATCCAACAGATATCTAGTGGTTGTTTACCATGTGCTAGGCACTGTGCCAAGTACTGGAAATACAGTGATGAAGACATATACAATCCCTCTCCTCTAGACATCCAAGTCTGGAGGAATATCCAGAGAAGTAAGCAGGCAAGTGCAAAACAGTGTGGTATATGATATGGAAAGTATAGGCTGGTAGGAGAGGTAGCAATAGTATTAATTACGATGATATACCCAACTCATATTTAGCACTACTATGCCCCAGGCACTATTATCACTTAATCCTCTCAGAAACTCTGTGACACTGACACTTAGTTATCTCATTTTATAGATGAGGAAACAAGGGCACAGGAAGATTAGGTAATTTGTCTGAAGTCCCCCAAGTAATAAATGGCAGAGCCAATATTTAGGGGCATCTAACTCAGATTCAGTGATATCAAGAAGTCTTCCAAGAGAAAATGATGTGTAAGCTTGGAGTTGACAATGAGTAGGAGTTTTTAGGAGAAAAGATTAGAGGAGACATATCTCAGACAGAGGGAATAATATACACAAACTCTGGCATTAGGAAAGAACAAACAATGTCCAGCAAATTGAAAGAAGTTCAGGTTTGATCGGTGGAGCTTGAAAGGCAGGAAGTGGTGAATTATCAGGCTGGAGTAAGAAGGGGCAGACTGTGTTGAGTGCGGTAGGCCATCCTAAAGGGCTAAGACTTAATCTCAAGAAGAGTAGGAAGCCCTTAAAGCAGGAGGGTGACATGATCACAACTGCTTCAAACTCCTCTGGTGGTGAAGTGGGGAAGGGATTATTTAAATGAGGTGTGCAGCCCGCTGGTCGTGAGTTTGACATGCTTGGATTAGAGGGAGGTAAGAGCATCCATGGGGAATCCCTTCAGATGGCTGTTGCAGTGATTCAGATGAGAGATGATGACAGCCTTAGGGTTAATGGCGGTGGGCATGGAGAGGATCTGAGAGATCTTTGGAAGGTAGAGTCCATGGGAATGGTGACATTGGGGATAGAAAAAGGAAGATGATGCTCTTACCTGGGTAACATGGGCTCATGTTGTCATCATCTGAGACAAGAAAAAGAGTAAATGGAACAGATTTAGTGTGAGGAGGGAGGTGACATCAATTTTGAAATGTGGAGTTTGAGGAGCTGGGGCCTTGGGTAGATAGGTATGAAGCTTAAGAGACAGATCTGAGTTGTAGTTATACTTTTGGGAGCCTTTGTCATTTAGATAATCATGAAGACATGGGTGTCAATGGGATTGCCATGGGAGAGTGTGTAGAGTGAGAAGAGAAGAGGGCCCAGGTTAGCATTGAAGAACTAACAAGCTAACAGAGGGAAAGCCTCCTTCAGTGGACACTGAGAAAGGATGGATGGACAGGAAGCAGAAAATTTAGAAGAGAAAGAAAAGGAGGTATTGATATTCAAGAGCAGATGTAGTTGGAGAACTGAGCTGAAGGTCAGAGATGGCCTGAGAGTGCTAGGTTTAAAGTGAGTCTTTCAGAGGTGGGGCATTTTAAGACAATAAGGCCCAGTAAAGGGGCCATGGGATGCATGAGCAGAGCTGAGAAGAGGGAGGCACTGGGCTGGCTCAGCAGGACACAGTGACTTCCAATCTGGCTCAGGCAGGTACTTCCTGGACGCCCTGAGATGTCTTGGTGCTGGTTGTGGCTTCAAGACCAATTTTGTTCTGTTCTGAAATTGCTTAGGGGGTTAGGGGAACTAACGTGGGCTTCTCTTTTTGTTCATGGTTGTTAAAAAATTACATAAAGTCCCCAAGAAACAAACGTACAGATTTGCCCATTTTTACTTCTGAAAAATAAAAAAGGAAAATGAGATAACTGAGTAGTTTTCCTTCAAATATCACAGACACATTCATTGTTTGGCTGTTGAAAATTTGGTCCCAGAAGTTAACATCTGTTAATGTTTCATACCATGCATTGAAAGATAATCAATTAGAAAATGAACCCTTAAAAGAAACCATCAACACAAAATGCTGGTGAGGATGGGGAGTAATCGAAACTATCATTCACTGCTGGTGGGAATGCAAAATAGCACAATCACTTTAGAATATAGTTTGTCACTTTTGTACAAAAGTAAACACACTCTTACCATAAGATCCAGCAATTGTACTTGCTGGTATTTACCCAAATGAGGATGGATTTCCTCCACCAGGTTGGGCAGTCTAATACCAACCCCGAGTGATTTCTGAATATGGAAATAACCAGGCCTGTTTCCATTCCCAGAAGAAAAGACTTCATTGGATCAAATACAAAGGTAGATATGATGTCAAAGATGGCAGCATAGCATTTTGAAGGATCGTGTTTATTGCTTCTATTCAATTCACCCGACTTATTGAATGTCGGTTATGGGCATGGCCTAGCAGAGGGTGACTAGAACAGTCTATTCTTAGCATGTAGTGACCAGATAACATCGGTTACATTTGTTCATCTTTACTCTGTCCGGTAGATCCAATCGAATCCAGGACTTGGTGTTAGGAACAGCGAGCTTTCCTTTCTGAATGGCAACCCCGAGGCTGACATGCTTCCCCAGGGATCCAGGGTGACCCCGGTCTCCACAAGGAGGACCCTAGAGCTGAGAAGGCGAAGGAGCCGGGGCAGAAGGTTCAAAGCGGCTTCTCTGGAATTTCCGGAGTCCAGTGGGAGCCCAGCATCAGACAGCTCTCGTGGCACCTTGTGGAGAAGCCCTAGCTGCTCATCCCAGGTCAGCAGCCCAGCTACAGATGCCCAACTGCCTCTGTGTTCTTCCCACCTTGAACCCGGAGCCAGAATGAAGGTCTTTGGTTGGGAAAACGGCTTTGAGAAGCTGGAGGCAGAGACCAATGTCGACACAGGGCGCACCGTGGTCAACTCTGAACCCAGGAAATCATTTCTGAGCAGGTTTCCGAGGGATCTGCAGACCAGCCAGCCACCACCAGCCTCCTCCTTAGGGGCAGCTGCCTCCAAAAACAACAAAAACTTGAAGGAAAGCATCCATCCTTTGTCACTTGCTGGCCAACGGGACCTTGATGCAAGGAAGATAATCTCAAAATGTCTTCATCTGCCAGTTCAGGGTGAAGAAAAAGAAGGAGAAGAAGAATTCTTTATATAGTATAAAACAATGTGGTTTTCTAAGATACAAGATCAAATACAATGTTCCAGAAATGGAGCACTCTTTCTTGTTCATCTGAGGGGGCCTGTATGCTAGCCATGCACAGGTCTGTATTGCTTTTATTTGTTCAAAGTCTAATGGTGTTGTAAGTGGTTGTTTGCAGGCATGGTCATGGTCATAGACACACTAACCCAGCACCTATCAGGATAATTGCATTGTATGGAAATGAGTTGAATGTGTTTTGCAATGTTGATTAGTGTATGTAATTTGGTTTTAATTTTTACTGGGGTTGCATAGCTCATCCCCCTGGACAGCATGGGCTATTTATTCTTTAGTGTTTTAATTTTTATGTGACCTCCTTTTATAACTAGGCCCTGTTCACCACATACCCTCTAGTGATTTAAGTTGTTTGCATCTGGAATGAGTTAACATGCAAAGTGTTTTGAAAATTAGGAATAATTAATTGTTTTCTGTTTAATGAGCAGAAGCACTGGAAGCCCAAAAAAAAAAATCAGGTTAAAAATGAAAGCTAGGGTTTCCTGCTCCTCCATTTCTCACTTGTTTCTGCACTACTCCAGTAGGACCAGAGGCTCTCGCTACTAACCAGAGAGGAATGTCACATGATTGGGTGATTAGAGATCTCCACAGAGCATTGGTTGGGTTATTGGAGCAGAACTTGGGTTCATCTGGCCATGTTTGAATTCCTAAATTCTTTTGCAATATTCATTCATTCAACAAATATTTACTAGGCACCTAAGTTTGAATCAGACATTGATATATGGTATACATACATTCTGTGGCCATCAAATCAAAAGTGATTATGGTTCCACCAGTTTGATAAATCCATCCTGTCAACTCAAGAATATATTGAAGTCCAAATTTATTCCTCTAGGAACTTTTTCCATAATTCATTCTCAAAGTTGCTGCACAAGGCTGTGGAAAGCATTCACAACCTGCAGATGGAGACTGGGAAAATTATGCATTGCAATTATAATCATAATAGACAAATTCTCAATTGCTCATACGCTGCATTTCTTTTTTCGGTTGGGTCTATACCACATTTTAAAAAGTCTGAGGTCTGTGTGTTTTAGTTAAGTTATAAGGTTATTCTTTTTTTATTATATATATGTATTTTATTTTTCAATTACAGTTTATAGTTAATTTCAGGTATACAACATAGTGGTTATACAATCATATACTTTACAAAGTATTCCTCCAATATTTCCAGTACCCACCTGGCACCATACATAATTATTGCAATATTATTGACTACATTCCCTATGTTTTACTTTATATCCCTGTTACCATTTTTTAATTACCAATTGGCACTTTTTAATATCTTCACCTTTTCACCCAGTTCCCAAAACCCTCTCACCTCTGGCAATCCCCAGTCTGTTCTCTGCATCTAGGAGTCTGTTTCTGTTTTATTTGTTTATATTGTTCTTTTGATTCCACATATAAGTGAAATCATAGGGCATTTGTCTTTCTCTGACTGATTTATTTCACGTAGCATAACACTCTCCAGGTCTAACCATGTTGTTGTAAATGGTAAGATGTCATTCTTTTTTATGGCCTAGTGATATTCCATTGTATAATATGTACCACAGCTTGATAAAGTTATTCTATTTTATGAACTTCCTTCTCCAAGACAGGTGTTACATAAGACTTCAAATGCTGATTAACTAGGTCTTTGGGAGACCTGGCTACTTAGTCCACCCAACTGGGGAGAAGGGTGTGCTCAGACCAAAGGACGATTCTTATGGCAGCAAGACTGGGCTGCGTTCGGGGTGCTCTGCCCAGCGTAGGGTACAAACGAATGACAGTTGCTGATGGACAAAGACATGACTTCTAAATTGATTTTTTGGGGTCGTTACAACATCAATATATTCTCATTCTTGTTTTTTTTCTTCCCCTCAGATTAAAGGTAGATCTTAAAAAGTGGATGAAGAACTTAACTTTGGTATGGTTTTCTATAATAACATTTAAAAAATGAAAGTCTTATTTAAGTTGAACTGTTGAGCTTCTTTGAAAAGCCCAGCAGGGGGGGGGGTGTTCTGACATTTCATTCCCACCTTTAACAGGTTACCTAAATTTCTTTAACATAATACATGGGTAAGAATATAAGTGCATGGAAATCATGAGAATATTGCAAAATTTGAATGAGTACCTTATAAAATTGACTTGTAAAATAAAACACTCTTCAAATATCACCTACTCTATTCTGCTCAACGTAGGAATCCAATTTACAGCGTGATAGGTTGAAAATGCCAGTGGGTGAGGTGGGAGAGGCCCAAATTTTGGTTTCAAGCTTTAAAATTTACTATTTATGTGACCTTGAACTGTCAGCCTCTTTGATCCCCTGTTTCCTTAACTATAGTAAGGAAAGGTTGTTAGAAGAATCAAGATTATGTATATGAAAGCATTTGGATATTGCCAAGCATTATGAATATGCAAGACGGTATTAGTACAGGGTCCTTCAGACCCACACTTTTAAAATGTCATGGCGACAAAGGATTTTTTGAAATAGGTTTTAGTAAAATCAATGATACAATAAAAATATAGTGATATAATGATTACAAATAAAAGAAACCTTTCTAATATTATTAGTATGAGTGCCATTTATTTTCATCTACTGAAGAAGAGAATTATAGATAGAATTCAAGTAGATCCTAAAGCTCAAAAGAGGTTATATGAAAGGGGTTAACTATACACTAATTTAATCCAATTTATCAAATCAGACTCTTAACTATAATGATACTGTATTCCCTAAAATGTAAAATGTATCACTTTTAAAATCTGAGTGGCTCCTGTTGATCAGATTATTTTATTTTCTCTTATAAGGGTTGCATTGCAGTTGCCTGGCTATTTTTAACCTTATTAATAGTGTTTCACACTTTTTTGCAAGCATTATTTAGAGATTGCTAAAAATTGATAGAAATGGTAACTTTTGCAAACTTGTGACAGGGTTTGTTGGTTGGGGGAAGCAGAGCAGAGGATTTGGGGTGCACACACCTTGACTTAGGAAGGGGCATAGACCAGCACCTCAGCTGCACCCCATCCACCCTCTGCTCTGATGGGACTTTGTCCAGGGGTCCTGGTCCCTCTACCACTCCCCCAAATCTGCTCACTGCATCCAGTTATGCTCGGAGATGCTGATGGCACAGACAGTAATGGAGAGAAGTGTGGGAGAAGGGGAGACCCTTTGTTCCTCCCAGAGGAAGATGGAGAAAGGGGAAGGGGAGCACGAGGGAAGGCTGGAACCACAAGCACACACCCCATGTTCTATTGATGAGAACCTTCTAAATTTCATGTCAAGTTATAACAAAAAGGAATGCCTGAAATAACTTAATTCTGTCTCCCTTTCTTGTATCTTCTAAGACCTCATGTTTGTTTTTTTCTCTTTTCCTTCTCTTTCCATTCCCTTCCCTCCCTTCCACCCCTTCTCTCTCCTCCTATTTTTTTTATGTGTGTGCATGAATTTGATACTCTCTTTATTCTTCCCGGTTTTAAAAAACACTTTGTCTTTGCAGCCTCTCCCAGAGTTCCTCAGGGGCTGACTGTAGCTGCAGCTTCTAAACAGGCCCCTTGGCTAAGCTCTGAGAGACAGGAACAAGAGACCCTTTTCTGAAGAAATTCTCCCATTTCCAGGTTATCCCCAGGGTTCTGATCTGGGGCACTAACCCAGCATCCCTTAGAAACAAGCTGGCCTCCCTCCACACTTTCTCTTTTCACGCCTACTAAACCTTTCTCTGAGGTCTGAGATGGTTCTGGAACAATTTTAACGATTGGCTATGGTATGTGATAGCAAAACAAAAGACACTATGGCTCCAGCAAGCACATAATTAGGATTTATGTTAAGAATTTCATCCTGTTAAACTTTATTCTCAAATATATTATTTTAAAAGTCTAGTTATTCCAGAGAATCTTGATGAGGTCTCTGCTTAGCATGAGAAGAAATGTATTATTTTCACAAATTCCATGTTGACCAGATATGTTTCTGAGATGTTTCTTTTAAAGATAATAATTCTAAAGAGGAACAGTATTACCAAATCTGAGCTGATGATAATGGCTGGCCTGGGCAGCGCCTGCTACATGTGAGGTGCTCTTGTATTTCGATCTTTACATCAATCCTGTGAGGTGGGTGCTATGATTACCTCCATTTTACAGATGAGAAAACGGAGGCACAGAGAGATCAAGATCCTAACCAGAACTGCTCAGTGAGTAAGTGTCATGGCTGGGCTTAGAGCCCAGGCTGTCTGGCTGGAGTTTGTGTCCCTAACCACTATCCAACCCTGCCCCTCGAAGTGGGGTGCAGGGAGGGAGAGCTCAGTTTCAGCATGTGCCCATAGCATCTCCACACTGTGTGCCTGGCATATCACCCTGGTTTCCTTTCTGCCCCCACTTGTTCTGTCTGCCCCAGACCTGCTTAGATATGAGGTTGAAATGCCTGTCACAGGGGAGCTGACTAGATGACATCCTATTGGAGCAACCCCAGCTTCCAGCCCTTAGCCCAGCACCAGGACCAGAGTAGATGTTCCACAGTAAAAAAATTTACAAAGATTTTGTTCAGTGGATACACAGCAAGGGGACACAGATGAGGCTTCCATTTTCTAGATGCCAGCAGTAAGAGACTGTCCTACTGGAGGGCTGCCATAACCAGATTCCACAGGCTGGGTGGTTCTAACAGCAGACATTTATTTTTCTCACAGTTCCAGGGGCTGGGAAGTCCAAGATCAAGGTGCTCACATGGTCGAGTTCTGGTGAGAGCTCTCTTCTTGCTATGGAGAGAGAGAGAGAGAGAGAGAGAGAGAGAGAGAGAGAGAGAGAGCGCTCTGTTGTATCTCTTATAAGGGCACTAATCCCATTCACAAGGGCTCCATCCTCATGACCTAATTACCTTCCAAAGCCCCCACCTCCGAAGACCATCACCCTGGGGGTTAGTTAAGGCTTCAACATATGAATCTGGGGAGACACATTCATTCCATAACAGAGATGAACCCTATCATTCCTGTCTGTCCTAAGTGCCAGTCTCCTTCTGCCAGCCCCTCGTTTCATTAGCCTTTCCTCCATTTCTCAGGTGTGCAGTTTTCCTCCATTGCCTGTTGACTGCAGACCTATCTCAGCTTGCAACAGTTCCCTCCTCATCTCGTCTATCCTTTTAGTGTATTGCTGCACTTCTCTCTCATGGTCTCTGCTGCTGTGTTCTCTGAACCTCACTCCAAGGTTTGGCCTCCCTCATCCACTCCACAAGCATGTCCTGGCCACCAGATCCCTGCATCTCTTTCCTTTATGTCCAGGACCTTGTCCAGGCTCCCAGAGCCTCAGCCAGTGAGCCTCACATCAAAGGATCCAATTTTGTCTTCAAGAGACGAAGCCACAGGAGACAGTCACAGCAGAAATGATGCTGCTGCTCTCATCACAAGGGTGTTTGAATTCCCGCAGGCATGGATCATGGTTGATTCAAGTTTACATCCATTATAAGTCACGGTCCTTTTTATATCCCTCTCACAGGATAATATTCACATCTTGGAATTTTCTCTGCTTCGGTCTAAGTCACAAAACTAAGTGTGACTGAATTTCAACAGGACTTTTTAATGAGGTGTGTAAATGCTTCCCTTGTTTTTCTCCCTGAACCAGTCTGACATCAGTGGGCACTATTGTGACACAATCGAGTCACCGGGGTAATCTCCAAACTGTGTTTGTTCTGCTTCATCCTGAGAGAGGAAAAGGGGGTATTTTAAAATTAATGTATGTTCAGGAAATTTCCCCAAAGACGTTTTAGTGGGAGGCAGAGCCCACCTGAAACACATTCCATCTGCACCTCTCTGACTTGGGCATAAGACAGAGACTCAACCAAAAAGGTGTGTCCTTCCTGGAGTTTTGATGCTTCCCCGGGGGTAGGAAGCCTTCCTTAGGGCAGCAGCACTCTGGTCCCAGAAAGAGTGATGTCAGCCTTTGGCCATGGAGCCCTGAGTCCACACTGGCCCAGGGCCTGATTTTGGCTGTAATTCTGTCAGTTCACACCCCCTCCCCTTTTTTTGTTCTTGTGCATTTTCTGAGACCAGTTCTCCAGCCTTCTGATAAATTCATTCCCAGTTTGAGTCAGCGAGGATCAGTTCTGTTCTCACACCAAATCACTGAGATTGACACGGAATGAAATACTGATAGAGGTTAAAGCCAAGAACAAAATTGGGGCACTGTATTAGGGAATTGAATTTTCAAAGGGATATACAAAGATGTTAAAAGCTGTTTGTTTGGGGACTCAGTGTCTCTTTAAAGTTCTCTTGTCTTTCTCTGATTCTTTTGACTCTTTTCTTTCTGGGTCGCTTCTTTCTTCTCCCTCATGGCTGTGACAGTAAGAAGACCTGCTCTCTCCCCTTTATGAGTCTAAGAAGGAAGTAAGATGGGACCACTGTGGGAGGGGAGGTGCTTTTTGAAAAGCAGGTCAGACTCCAGACTTTTGTACAGGCTAGACAAAAAGATGTGGTCTGGCCTAGGTCAGCTGGACAGGGCCTCATAGTAGTTAGAGTCCTTTCATTTATAAGCAAGAGAGACTGAGAATTAATTTATACAAAAAGGGGAAAGAAGAAAAGCTACTGAGTCACTTTAATTAACAGAAGTCGTCAGGGGACCACAGCCCCAGCATCACATCCCACTAGCAGAGCCCCCTAGTGGACAGAGGAAGACTTCTCAGAGATCCTAGAAGAAAATTCCCAGGGAGGTCTCTGATTGGTTTGTGCTGAATCACATGAACCAATCACTGTGTATGGGTGATGGGGTTCTCTGATTGGTGAAGCTGTGGATCTTTGTCTATCTGTGTGAATGAGAGCTGGATGGTGGGGATTACAGGGAGGGAGTCAGCCCCACTTGAGTAACATGTAGGTCCTGCATAGGAAAGAGGCTTTTTTTTTTTTAATTAATCAGAAGAAATGAAAAGAGATGTTTGGCAGGCAACAAAAATAGGTATCCACTCTGGGCCCAAACTTTAGCTGGTAACAAAAGAAGAGCACCCTCTGCATTGTCCCTCTGAGGGAGACCTTGGGTGCTGCTCCTGTCACCTCTTCCTTGCAAAGAATTTGCTTTTGAAAACATGACACCTTCCAGCATCTGGCCTCCATCAGTCTGCTTTATTTACTTTAGAGTTTGTATTAGTTTCCTCGAGCTGTTGTAACAAATGACCACAAACGCCATAGCCTAAAACAATAGAAAGACCATAATCTCTGACAGTACTAGAAGCCACAAGTCCAAAATTAAGGTGATGGTGGGACCAACCTCCTTGTGGAGGCCCAAGTGGAGAGTCACTCCTGCCTCTTCCAGCTTTTCCAGGCCCTGGCTGCAAAACTCTCTAAGCTCTGCCTCCTAATTCATCTCACCTTCTCATCTTTACGTCGCTTTTTGTCTCTTCTAGGGACACTTGCTATTGGATTTAGAGCTCATTGGATAATCCAGGATGATCTCATTTCAAGATCATTAACTTAATTACATCTGCAAAGACTGTTTTACCAAATAAGATCTTAGTCACAA